TAAATGTATTGACGTTTTGATTGGGACTCAACGCCGATAACAACGGCAACAGATCTCCGATTACCGACAGAATCGACAAGAATTGGGTTATATATTGGGTTAAAGACCCAAACATTGATGATATGAATGACGTTCCGGGTATGCGATGAGTGGCCGCCGGCTGTCCAGCGATTATATTTAAGGGTCCAAAAGCGGTCACGAATTGTCGCTCCAATTGTGTTAACAATTGCTTTAATTCGTTGTTATTTTCCAATTCTTTGTGGCCATCAGTGATCGATATAATTGTCTCAATTTTGCCCACAATTACCAGCACTTCGCCAATAGGTCCGCGAATTGTCTCCAACACCATAGGAATTAGACTCGTATTGTATAAGAGAATGGAATATATTGTATTAATTGATATTAATTGAGAGAAAAAACAAACATGATCACTTTATGACAGATATAATGTTTAATTAGTATTGAGAGTGTATTAACTCGGATGTTGTTGTTTAAGGTTGTAGTTAAAATAATAAAATCATTAATTTCTAAATAATAATATTGTATTCATTGAATAAAATATAAATAATTAAATTTAAATAAATGCTTTAATTTATTGTTGTAGCATAAATAAGACGCTGTCCACCAGCTCATCTAAACTAAACACTGCCCCTTGGTCAATCAATAATTTATGAATACTCTAGTTTGTGTTTAGTTATAGCATCCAACTCACGTTTGAACACTGATTTGTCATGTGATCAAATGATCGGATGATTAACATTATATTAACATGATATTCAATTGTAATTGAATACAAAATTCAACATTTGTTCGCATTTCCCAACACTTATCACAATCTTTACATCAGTTTTACTGTTTGTGAAAATGATTGCAATTCTTCTACTTATAGTGTCTTTCACTGCCATTCAATGCCAACAAATCCCAGTGTATTGTACGTATTGTAATAATATTCAAACGGATGGCAAATACGATGGCATTGATGTCTATTACTCCACGGTTTACGAAAAGTATTACATGTATAATAAGAGGTTTGACCCATATTTAGTATATGCGTTAGAGTGGGAGATTCACTTCGGGAATCCCGGTTTCGATACCGAATTCATTGGCCGTTATTACTACCGAAACCTAATTAAAAGATTTAGTGGCAATGGTTTCGACTGTTATGTCAAATATCAGGTTATTATACATTGAATTGCATTCAAAATATTAATTTCAATTGATTTTAAAGTCCGGAAACACCGGCGATATTGTGACCGAATGTACTGATGGCAAGACTATCAACAACATCGACACCGACTCTCAATACAATCCCAAAGATCTCATATTCCGGGCAACGAATAAGAGAGACGACAATTGGCTCATTGTTTACAACAAAACTGATGCAAACATTTGGTGTTATTCTCCGAATGAAAGCCCAAAGAATAGACTCGTGAAGAATGAGACCAAATGTCGGGAATATGTGAAGCAAAACAAACTATTTGTCGATTCCATGGATTCATCGCTTCTGAAGGATATCGAGGCTGTCGTCGACTTCGGATACGAAAACTATCTTTTGGGTTACACTATATTCTTCAATATAAACGGCAAACCCAAGTATTGCGAACAAATTCTCGGCGGCTCTGAAGTACTTTTGAAATGCATTTTTAGAAAATACTTTTTAATTGTTAATTTTGTTATTTTTAGTGCAAAACAAGGGATGATTTGAAAGAGTGGTTATCGGAGTGCTTCCCACCGGATTGTACTCAAGAGAAGACGTGTTGGTCCGCGGGTTTGATTGTTTTGATTACTGTTTTGGTAATGATTTGCGTTCAAATATTTTGTTGGTTGCTTTGGTGCTGTAAATTAAAACATTTGTGTAAATGTAAGAAATTATTACATTACAATTTTTACTAATAATTGATAAATCATTTGATTAATTCTGTAATAATGAACTAAATATTAACACATTTTGTATGAAATAAACGACTGGATTTATTGACCAGATTTGAAATATATTAGACAATTAGACAATATTGAATTCAATTAGCGGCTCACAGAATGAGTCAATTTGTAATGTATTTGATTTTAACCGATTCAATGAACAGAAAATATTATTACAACAGTATTAATAATACTCACTATTACTTTGTTTAAATATTCCTTGTTTGTATTCAAAATTTACTCACTCTGTGAACTGCAAACTTAATTAATGTTAAACTCATAAAATAATCGCAATAATCATCAGTTAAAGTTGAGTGAAACTATTGTATTAAACTTGAAAATGCAACTTTTTAGCAACTTTCCGGTTGCCATTCATTTATAAACAAAGTCCTTTATGCATTGTGTATTGATTGTGGAAAATAATGTGACAATTATATCACAATTAATTAGAATTTATTTATAGGTAAAAACCTCTTTATGTATTGTTTGATTGATTGTTTGTATACATGTTTTGCCAACCAATACATCACAAAATTAATATTCATTTATAAGCTAAATCTTATACTATGTATTGTGTATTGATTGACAAATACATTGTATATGTTTTGGTGACAAATATCTTATATTAATTATTTAATATAAATTAAATTAAATATAAATTTCTAGACAATCATATTTATAACTAAAGACTTTTATATGTTGTGTATTGATTGTTTGAATACATGTTTTGCCAACTAATACATCACTTAATTAACATTCATTTATAAGCTAAAGCTTATATTATGTGTTGTGTATTGATTGACATGTTTTGGTCACAAATATATCTCATATCAA